CAAATCCCTGCTAGAAGTGCACTTAGAAGGGGCTGGTTTGGAGACTTTCTAACTGGTCCTGACATCTTAGTTGTACCTGGAGAAGTCTTGCAGTCAGAGAAGCTGGTTTTAAGCACCGGGTGTGTAGGGGTCAGTAGGTGGTTGTGCTTTAGAGAGAAGAGTGAAGTGGACCGGTGCTCATCTAGATTCCGCCAGAGAAGAGGGTGTTCCGGAAATATCAGCTCATCTGGGGAAGAGGAGGCAATGATCTTGGAAGGTTCCTTAAGCTCCAGTCAAATGGGCAGCCTGTTCTTGTGGCTTCTATAATCAAAGGATATTATTCCTTCCTACCTGGGAGAAAGTCTGCCTGGAGCTACCTCCACAGAGAGGCCGTCAGTCCCTATTGCTCCGGTTTGAAACAATTATTTAAATTTTGGTTGACTTCATCAGAGACATTTTTCTGTTTTGCCGAGTTACCACCCCCATGCTTCCCCATCATTGATGTTTCTCTCTCTCTCTCTCTTTCCCTTCCTCTCTGAAATCAATAAAAACATATTTAAAAAAACACACACGAGAAATACCCAAATGTCCACCAACAGGTAAAGCAAATTGTGAGTACTCCTTCCACCATAAAAAAAAGAACAAAGTATGAGGCACGCAACAATAAGAATGAATTGCAAAAATGTGATGCAGACACAAAAAAGACCCAACTACATGAATTCCATTTGTGAACTTTTAGAACAAACACACGAATCTCTCAGTGGTTAGATGGGGTGGGAGTCAGGGATATTGCATCTAAAGGGATGTGAGAAATGTTTGGGGGGATGGAAATGATCTATATCTTGATTGTGAGGGTGGTTACATGCATGTGTATGTTTTTCAAGACTCATCGAACTGTACATGTAAAGTGGATGCATTAGGAGAGAAAGGAGAGCACATGCAAAAGAGAGAATAAGCCCAATTTGTGTGTCTCTAGTCAGGGGAGGCGGTAGCCAGCCAGGAGGACTGGACGATCTTTGGCGATAGGATACTGCTTGAAGGCCTAGATAGATGAGTGTGAAATGTCTGTGAATGTGAAGGTGAAACCTTTGTCCTTCTATGGAGATGCGAAGGGAAGGGTGGTAGAGTTGGACACACTTGAAGGGTGAAGGGTAGGGAGTTTCAGAGAGCCACAGGAGGCCCAGGTGTGTGGAGAGAAGGGGGGCCTCGAGTCCAGGAGTAAAGGTTTGAGGCACCAGCTGTGAGGAACAGGCAGCAGAGGCCAACCCGGAAGTAGGTAGACTTATCTCCTTTGACATGGGGCCCCGCTGGCCACAGATGTATAATGGTATCTCCAAGAGTGG